TCTCTGAACCTTCTCCAACAGTTCAATGTCCATCTTGAGGAAAGGAGCCCAAAACTGTATACTGTACTCTAAATGAGGCCTTACAAGTGATCTATACAGTGAAACAATAATATCCCTTCTCTTGTATTCAATATTTCTATAGATGCTACCCAAAATCCTATTAGCCCTGTTGCTAGCTACAGTACACTGTTTAGATGACTTAAGTGATTTTTTTATCACAATTCCAAGACCTTTTTCTTCAACCACAGTATTTAATGTATTTCCATTTAAATCATAACAATAATATGAATTGTAAAAACCTACATGCATCACCTTACATTTTGGATAGCTGAACATTATCTACCATGTATTGGCCCAATGCATCAAATGATCTAAATCTCTTTGTAAGTCTGCAGCATCTTTGATACAGTTAGCCACCCCAAAAATCTTAATGTCATCTGCAAACATCACATGCCATTAAGTATTCATCTTTATTATTTTAAATATTAATGTCTACTTCTTTAACATTGTCAATTAGAGGCACCTTTTGACCTTATTGGGAAATAATTTACTCATTATTTACTCATGCACATGTATTTTATATCTTCAAATGTGATGAAACTTGCAACCTAGGAAGAAGAGGCTTCATTTATTTTTAATAATTGATATATGCACATATTTTTTAACTTTACAGAGATTTATCAAACAAAGAAATATTTCGGTTTTAAGTGATTGGTAACCACAGTGTTGAGGTGAATGCATAAGGAGGTATAGAAAGGTGGGTGGATGGTAATACAGATTGAAAAGAAAATACAGATTAAGAGTAATCTGTACATCTTATTCATACTAAATGTGAAAAAGAATGTGCTTCAGTTAAGTAGATTTAGGTGATTATAAAGAAAGCTTGTGTTTAAGGTTATTATATTTGCGCCTCTGCACAGAGACATGCTGTTTTTGTATTCTTTTCAATTGACAATCATTCCTTCATTTCTTGGCAGATTGACTTGAAATTTGATAGAGTTATACTTTGGTCCAATATGCCCAGAAGTCTTTTTCTTTTATTTTTTTTTGGATTTGCTTCTTTTTTTAAGGATTTTATAGGATCGAAAGTCAAACAACGCAATAAATGTATATTTTGAGCTCTTGTGTGGTCATATTTTCTGCAATCAAGATGAAAATTGGCACAAATATAAATTTTCATGAGCCAAACACATTGATGTATAAAAAATTTGGTTATGCCCATTTTAAATCTTTTTAGGGAGGGGGATCAGTGCTCACAAAAAACCATAATTTGGAGGGTTTTGGTCAATTACTCCAACATATTTTGGCCAATTTACATGGGATTTGGTACAAAGATACTTTTCCACAGATCCCACACATTGAAAAACAAAAATGGTGGACTTGACCATTTTTAGTAATATAGGGGGGTCAAGATGCCACAAAAAGCAAAATTTTAGGGTTTTTTTAAAAATTACTCCAACGTATTTTGACCATTTTGCATCATGGGAGTTAGCAAAGATACTTTTTTTACAGGTCCCATACATTTACATAAAAAATGTGGAATATGTCCATTTTTGGTTATTTTTTAGGGGGGGGCATCAAAAGGTTAAGTAAACCCATAATTTTAGGGGTTTTTGGTTAATTACTTATCCATGTTTTGACAAATTTATGTGGAATATAGGATTTAGTACAAAGGTATTCTTTACAGGTTCCAAACAGAGATATAGATAATTTTGGAATTTTTGTCTTTTGCTCAATTTTTCAGTGAGGAAAGTACAGTTTGTGGTTTTCATGTACTATTCATGTGTATGTCAACCAACTTACATGGAATTCGGTGCAAAGATACCTTCTTGTAGGTCCCAAGCAGTAATATTGATAATCTTCTATATATTATGTTTTTCCTGATTTTTCTAGTGTCAAAGTTAGCCATGTAGGAATTGCATGGTGGAGACGTGTTGCATTTGCCTGAAAATGTTGGCCTCTGTAATTTAGAAACTGTTTACCTAGGGGAACAAAATTTCACCATAGGAACATTCAGAATCATAAGTTTTAATCAGGAAATTTGAAACAGGGTGTTTTAAAACTGACACGGATGCGCCTTACTAACCCTAAATGAAGCTGTTGCAAATGCAATTTTTTTCGTACAACATTCATAGGTTCGTGTAGTATCTTGTACAATAATGTAATTGTATTCAAATTACCAATTTCATATTACTGAATGAAAAAGAAAAAGATAAAAGCAGTGCTGTTTTCTTAGAAAATCATTTTAAGTACAATCCAGTATAGTATGATTATAATATTGTTAGTCCAGTTCTTGTAGTATGATTATAATATGGTTAGTCCAGTTCTTGTAGTATGATCCAGTATAGTATGATTATAATATTGTCAGTCCAGTTCTTGTAGTATGATCCAGTATAGTATGATTATAATATGGTTAGTCCAGTTCTTGTAGTATGATCCAGTATAGTATGATTATAATATGGTTAGTCCAGTTCTTGTAGTATCGTCTAGTATAGTATGATTATAATATTGTTAGTCCAGTTCTTGTAGTATCATCCAGTATAGTATGATTATAATATTGTCAGTCCAGTTCTTGTAGTATGATCCAGTATAGTATGATTATAATATTATCAGCCCAGTTCTTGTAGTACAATCCAGTATAGTACGATTATAATATGGTTAGTCCAGTTCTTGTAGTATGATCCAGTATAGTATGATTATAATATGGTTAGTCCAGTTCTTGTAGTATGATCCAGTATAGTATGATTATAATATTGTTAGTCCAGTTCTTGTAGTATCATCTAGTATAGTATGATTATAATATTGTTAGTCCAGTTCTTGTAGTATGATCCAGTATAGTATGATTATAATATGGTCATTCCAGTTCTTGTAGTATGATCCAGTATATTATGATTATAATATGGTCAGTCCAGTTCTTGTAGTATGATCCAGTATAGTATGATTATAATATGGTTAGTCCAGTTCTTGTAGTATCATCAAGTATAGTATGATTATAATATTGTTAGTCCAGTTCTTGTAGCACAATCCAGTATAGTATGATTATAGTATGGTTAGTCCAGTTCTTGTAGTATGATCCAGTATAGTATGATTATAGTAGGGTTAGTCCAGTTCTTGTAGTATGATCCAGTATAGTATGATTATAATATTGTCAGTCCAGTTCTTGTAGTATGATCCAGTGTAGTATAATTATAATATGGTTAGTCCAGTTATTTTAGTACAATCCAGTATAGTATGATTATAATATTGTTAGTCCAGTTCTTGTAGTGTGATTATAATATTGTTAGTATAATGTGGTTCTGAAAAAATTGGACAATTCTAATGAACAAAAATCTACACAGAATATTTGGTATACTAATATTACTGTTGAAAATAGTTATATAGATGTTGCTGTTTTGATGTATTATGCATGTTTAAGCTGATGGGTAAAAAAAAGAAAAAACTTGATCTTTTGACATGATGGGCCACAAATCTAGTTGGGTGTCAACAATGTTATGTTTTAGAAATGAAGAAACAGAAGTTGGTTTGGTCATACAGTGTAAAGGAAAACAAACATACACATTCATTTTATTTTGTAATTTTTGACCAAGTTTATAAGTTCTGTAATACTAATGATTTTGCAAGAATTTTTGTTTTATATTTTAGTCTTTGTAATAAAACCACTAACTCGATAATATGGAATCCAGATTAGGCGTGTTAGTGCTAAATTGTGCTTTTGCTGATGATATGGTTTGTTTGATTTGGAATTTTTATATTTTTGCTTTCTTTATTTTGTCAGTTTTAAATTATCATGTTCATATTTATTTTGCTTATTAATATATTTTATATCTGATATCCATTAGACACATACCTACTTATAAAAAGACTCAGCATGGTCTTTTGGAATTGCTTATGTGAGCCCAGAACCAGTTTTTAAAAGAAACAGGAAGAATTTTTCAGTAGCTAAATCTTATTTTCAGCGTGGTTATGTTTCCAGTATTACAGTGCTCAACAACCACACAAAAAGTGGTAAAATTATGAAGATGTGAAGAAACAACTAATCACCAGGACAAGGTTAGTCAGATAAAGAGCCAAGTTAAAGTGCCAAAGTGTCTTTTGCAATAAAAACATAAAATTGTGGTTGCATCCTCGAAAGGAAATAAACCGATGATTATAAGTTTAACAGACTGATCCAACACAATCTTCATTAATGAATATAATAGATCTTTATGACAAAAGACTAAGCACATGTGTGAGACGGTCTTTTGTCTGTGTTCTTCACTTCTATTGATTTGTTTTCTCAAGCTTTGAAAATTTTTTGTGTAGAGAACATGTATAAAGGAAGGGGGAGCGAATGTTGCATGTTTATCACTTACAGAAAAAGTTGAGTCTTGGTACATTTTGACGTAGTGTGTTTCTTACTTTTCTAGTGAAGTGTTTTGTTGTATATATAAGGCAAGCAGCATTCCACAGTGAATACACATTTGCTTATTTTAAGTATTACTGCACTGATTTATTTCTCCGAGTCACATATATTTTTCCGCTTACTTATTTACCAATGATCAGTAAACATCAAGGTCCAACATAAACAAAATAGATATTTCTTTGGGATTCCTGTTGTAAGTTAATAGATACATATATTATTACAAAGGCACACTAGTTCAGTTTTAGATGATTGGTTTTTCTAATTTTTCACGTATACAGTGTGACTTGTGTCCACTTTAGCAATATAGTTTTCCAGCTAACTCACAACATGATTAAGTAGTAATGTGACGTAACAATAATGATGTTTGAAAAAGTTTTTGTTGTTGTTGTTGCCATCCAGCTGTCTTACCTAAAACATAACAAAAGAGGAAGTGACAGAAGTACATTTGGCCTATTCAAGTCATTTAAATCCAACTTAAATACAACTCTTCACATAAAAAAACTCTCCACCAAAATTATAAAAGATTTCATACTAACAACACAAACCACTTCATCAGCGTTTAACTCTTTAAAAAATGTTACGATCAGAAGTCTGCATTTATACTTCTCATTTACCCTTAGTAGTTAAGTTTCCATTCCATTACTCTGCTTTCCAGAGAAAACAAGTCTAAATGCACAAGCTTGTCATATATTAACCCTATGTGCACAGGGTTGACCATTGGACCGACTTCATACATCTGAGAATTAGTGTTTACTGTAAATTCTGTATTTCCAAATTTATTTATCATAACAGCCTCAACTTCTTGCCTTTTTACATGTAATTTTGTTTACTTTTATGGCTTTATTGTAATTTGACCCTCTTTCAGTACATGAAAAGCTTTAAAACTTCAGCAGGAGAGCTTAAGGTAAACAAACAGATTAAGATACATCACATTACCTCAAACTGTATGATTTCTTCAAGTGAGTGATTACAAGAAATTTTGTTTTCATTTACGTTTTGTGTCTCATAGAATAAGTTTCTAATTTTTACCTTTTAGTTACTTTTTGTTGAAAGATATATGACAATTAATAAAAATTATACATGGTAAATAAGAAAGTTAAACTTATGTGTAAGTTGAGACCCTTTTTTTTTTTTGCACTCGCATTCCATTGTTCAGTAATCCTATATCTTTCTCACTACATTGGTTTTTTCAAAAAAATAATTTATATAGCTTTCAAATATGTATTTAGAACACACAAAATAGCTAGGCTCTAGAATGGAATGTGGTGGAACTATTATAGTTTATCTGGCTTTCTAACTAAGTTATAAACAGATTAAAAAATTTCCATTACTGCTCAGAGCAATGACTTTTCTCAACAGATGTCAAGCTTTTCTTGCAAACTGTCATCTGTGTCTACAAAAACTGAACAAGTTTAAGTGACCAATATGTTTAAAGTTTCTCTTTCTATTGGTTATAATATTTTTATCAAATAAGGATAAATGGTTTGAATAACTTCATTAAAAACTCTGATAGGTGGGATGAGTTTGACTGGTGGTCCGAATAAATTTATTTATATATATCTCAGAAAATCTTGTGGTTTGTTCACAAATTTACATTTTGACCTTTCAATATGTATAGTTTTTGTTTCCAAATTGTTGGATACACTGAAAACCATGTAAGGATGAAAAAACATTTTAAAGCAAGAAAATGTCGGCACAGAAATGTGAAGATTGATAATTTAACTAAAAATTAAAAACTTAGAAATTACAAAGTTAAAACTTAGATGATATAAACTACATTTTGATGCCAACTTTATTGATGTATGTTTATAATTAAGCTGTTTAATTAACTTTTGAGTGTAACTCTGTGAAAAGGTCATGACATGCAAACTTTGATTTACCCACATTCATAACATTAAGCCAAAATATTTCTTCATTTTCAATTGTAGCTCAAGTACTCTACATAAAAATTATTGTTTAATAAATTTACTTCATATGAAGTTCAAACTTCTTGGAAATGTATTGACTATGCAGTGGTAAGAGAGTATGTCATCTGAGATTGTATCAATTCCATTTGTAGAAAGGACCTATTTGAAGTTTGACACGGATTCAGGTGCTGTGGAATGCAATTAAGCTAAAGTGGTATTGAAGTTGAGGAATGTTCTAATTTGATACTTTTATTTTTTTGTACAGACAAATAATTTTCTGCCTTACAGTTCTGAATATCGAGTTTGCCATTGCCATTCTTAAGATGAATGGTAATTTTTGTTTGGTCATATGTAAAAAAACTGTGGAAAAAAAATATTCTTTTTTCTTCGCTTTAAGGAAAGTTTTACATTAAGGTATTTCTTGTTAGAGAGAGCCTTATTTTTGAAACTGAAGAGTATACTGGAGATATGAAACTGGTATTTATGTGTGGTTTTATTTCTTTTAAATTTACAGTATTAAAGCGTTTTAAAATATTTTTAAAGATATATATATATATATATAGGGTAATAAGTATGTAGGTTTGTTTTGGAAGAACCTTATCACTATGATTAGTTTGACTTTCTAAAATAAACTAATGAACACAAAAAATACAAATTAAACCTCAAATGCATTGGAATGAAATACACTTTAGTCAGTACATTTTGATTTGAATATATTTTATAATATTTTTTACTCTGTGTCTTTTCTTTTGTTACATTTATTTATTGTTAAATATTATTTTTTCAGTAGTGCTTCAGACCTCAGTTCTTTAGCTATAGACAACAAAATTGAACAAGCTATGGTAAGTGTAAAAATTGTAAGTATGTGTGTCTTGTGCATTCATTTTATTTTCAGAATTGTATGTTTAGCATTAATACTCTTTATTCCTGGATAATTTTGTTCTTCAATATGTTAATAAGATCATGTTTATTCCATTAAATTCATCAAAGTCAAGCATGATATGAAAATATAACATCTTTTATTTTTGTAGGAACATAGTTTTCCTAATTTGTTTTTTTCATTTTGATAAGTATTCAGTGCATAAAATAATTTCACATATAAAACTATTGTATCCTTGCTAAGTTTAAAATAGCTTTAGTCTTACTTTTGATTATTTAGAAATATTTTATACGATGTTCTTGAGGAATTTAATTATATGTTACACCATGTCCGTTTTTGGTGAATGTATGTTTTCTTTGCTGTAGGAGGAAATACTACTTGGAAAGTGTTTCCTTATGTTCACCTTTATTCATTTTTGTGTGTGGAAATACTACTTGGGAAGTGTTTCCTTATGTTCACCTTTATTCGTTTGTGTGTGTGTGTATGGAAATACTACTCGGGAAGTGTTTCCTAATGTTCACCTTTATTGGTTTTTGTGTATGTGTGTGAGGAAATACTAATTGGGAAGTGTTTCCTTATGTTCACCTTTATTCGTTTTTGCATATGTGTGTGGAAATACTACTTGGGAAGTGTTTCCTTATGTTCACCTTTATTCGTTTTTGTGTGTGTGTGTGAGGAAATACTACTTGGAAAGTGTTTCCTTATGTTCTCCTTTATTCGTTTTTGTGTGTATGTGTTTTGTTTTTTACCCATTCTTATTTCAGGAACTTTTTAGACTAATATAACTGGCTTTTGATAAAACAGTCATGTTTCAACATATTATTTTATTGAGATACCTCATCAAATGTTTATGATAATTCAAACTAATGTAGTTTATTGAAGTATGGGATTTTTAGCACGAAACTTGGCAATACATGGAGCTACTTGCATGTATCATGGAAAATGTCAAGGAAGATTGACAAGGAGCACCTAATAACTTTAGACAGAAAAACCTTACAACAAACAAAGTGTTCATACTGTATTTCTCTTATTATCCCACGGAACTTGCATTTACATTGGGTCATTTAGGAGTTAAATCTTAAAATTATTATTAATTTTAGTGTAGTTTCAATTACACTTTCTATCCTGAGAGATAAAATTAAGTTATTAAATTGTGTTACACCTTTTCTGTGAACTTGCTATTGTGATTTTATGAAGTTGCATGTGAAATTGTATGTAATACATCTTGCTGTTAATACTAATTGACAGTAGTTTATAACACTAGCAAGAAAGTAACATGTCATCTGAAATGAGTTTTATTAGACCAATAAGTTTCTTTAAAATAAAAGATAACAATCAAACCATAGATTTAGATATAAAGCACACACTTAATTGATTATTTTATACATAAGGGAAATTAGTTATATGTTCTCAAGTTTTCTCTCATTTCAAACGGAAGAAAAGCTACTGATTTTCACATTTAAAATAGTTTTAATCTACTTGTATTTTCAGAAAAATATATGATACAATATCAAAATAGAAGTAAGGAAGAGATTTAAAATAGTTTATAGTATAAAATAAAAGAAGCTGTTAGGGAATAAAAGTAAATGTATTTTCATAATTACCAAATTTGTCATCGCACTATTTATATTTATATAAGATTTTAGCAACCTGCAAGCCATTGTAAATAATTACTCATTTGTTATTTGTTTTCTTATGATTAAAAGTCTATAATTTATAGTAAAACTATATGTAAGTATATAATTTTTTATTAAAAATCTATTTGTTATTGTTCAATTATTTATTACTGATAATCTTTCAGGACTTGGTTAAGAGTCACCTTATGCTTGCTGTCCGAGAAGAGGTGGAAGTATTGAAAGAAAAAATCATAGAACTGACGGAAAAAATCTCCCAACTTGAATATGAGAATGGAATTCTGAAAGCTAATGCCTCTCAAGAAACACTAAGAAAAGTTACTGCAGTAGGTCTCCAACCATTTTGTCAAACTCGGTTACAACAGCACTTAACAACCACGACTCAGTTAGCCAGTCACTTACAACATCCCAGGTAACATTGAGTTGTGGAATAGATAATAAAAGAATTCTTAAGCCATTTCTGTTCATGTGTGCAACCCTTTGAACTGCACCATTGAATTCATTATTTTACTGAGAAATTAGATATCTCAGGTTTGTGCTTCTAGCTGATCACAAAATATAATTATATATAATTTAATTGAACATAATGTTTAGGATAACGGACCTATTGGTCCGTCTAGGCTGTCTCATCTTCTAAACTAAACTAAAACTATTAAATAAAAAAAATACAACTCAAAGCCAGTTCTTGTCATTCATATAGTTATCAAGCTTTCTCTGAAACTCGCTTAAATTGACTGCCTCCACAATATCCAAGGGTAACCTGTTCCAAAAGCCAACCACCCTGTTAGAAAAATAAAACTGTCTCGGCTGAAGATGACTCCTACCCTGCTAAGATTTATATTTGTGTCCCCTACTGGTACCATTCACACCATTAAGTATGAAAAAAGATGATGCATCAACACTATCAATTCCCATTACAATCTTAAACACCTCAATTAGATCCCCCCCAATTCTTCTTTTCTCAAGAGAAAACAATTTTAGAGATTTCAGCATCTCCTCATATGACAAGCCCTCTATCCCTAGCTTCTATTCTAGTAGCCCTTTTCTGAACCCTTTCCAATAATTCAATGTCCTTCCTAAGTTAAGGAATCCAAGATTGAACACGATATTCCAAATGTGGCTCAACCAGTAACCTATGCAATTAAATTATTATAACCTCTTTAGACTTGTATTCAGTATTTCTGTAGATAAAACATAAAATCCTATTTGCCCTATCACTAGCAACAGCACACTGCTTGGATGGCTTAAGATACTGATCAACCATTATTCCAAGATTCCTTTCATTCATGACACTGTTAAGGTTATTCCCATCCAAAATTATATTTATAATTCAAATTATGATAACCCACATGTATTACCTTGCATTTATTATAATTATAGCCCATCTGCCTTTTATTTGCCCAATTCACAAAATGATCTAAATCCTTAATATCATCAGCAAACTTAAGTAATTTATTGAACATTCCTTCATCTATATAGTTGATGTAAATCAAAAAGAGCAGAGGTCCTAAGACTGAACCCTGATGTACCCCAACTGTGACATTAATCCCATTTGACTGAAATCCATTTATAACAACCCTCTTCTCTCTTTCATCCAGTCACTCTTCTATCCGATTTTGTTTGTTTGCGTCATCATTAATAATCTCATATAATAGCATTTAAAACACTGAGCACTTTAGAAATGCAGTTTCTCATCAAGGCTTCTTCAAAAATGTTTCTGTAGAATTAAAGATTTTTTTTGCTTGTAAATCAACAAAGATTTTGTAGACCCACTCAAGTTCAGAGATACTTTTTTCCTTCTTTGTCAAGAGATGCATTTCTTTTTAATTCAAAATACCCACAGTTACACTGTGTTGTTATTATGTTACAACAGAACTTAGATATTACTGGACTCATTTTCAACTTGCAGCTTTGTACCACACCTTTTATGATTGAAGAATAAAGTAATAACCCCCTTTCATTATGGGTACTAAAGCACTTAATCTTGGAATGGATTCTATTGTGCACAGTTATCGTAACACCCTTTTCAATGGTCTCTGACTATAATTTGATATTTATTTCTCACTAATCTAAGTGAGAAAAGAGCCTCCTGGTGACTCATCGGTACATCGACAACTTATAATGCTAAAAATCAGATTTCAGTATCGCAGGAGTCACATTGTGTAGCTTTGTGCTTAATAACAAAAAGAGAAGAAGAAAAAGTAACATAAAACTAGTTTTAGTTCACCAGATAAATAAAATTACTTGGCCACTATTATGAATTGTTGACAAACACTTACAGAACTTATCCAATCACTACATTTAAATTTTACCATCTGTCAATACTGTACCTGCCTTGAATCTTTTTCTTGCTATAATAATTTATACATAAAGGAAGTCAAGGAACATTAAATATTTTAGCCAACTGTTAATGTTATTTACTGGCTACCAGAAATCCTCAATCACTTCATGGTTTTCATTGGTTTAGTTAGATAACTCAAGTTTAATAGTTATAGTTGTTAAGAATAAAAATCATTTTCATAGTTTTTGAAAACCTAGATCAACTTTTAGCTTAATCATGTATTTGTAGGTAGATATACAAACAAGTTAAGAAGGTTTTCCTTCCCGTATTTCAGGTTATTCACTCCATGAGGTAGTCAAAACATTGCTCAAATTAGTGAGAACCATGTAGCATATCATCCAGATTAAGAGAAGTTAGCAGGATGGGTGGGCCAATATAGTAAGAAATATTTGATGTTTTTTTGTCCTGTTAATCATTAAAGACCCTAAAAATAATATGTTATCTGTTAAGTGTCAGTGATGCATATCATGCTTAGTAAATTACTGTCACAAGGTGCTTGTTTTGTACCAGATTTGGTTTTTGTCATAAAGTCTTCATTAGTCTCATATTTTATGGAACCAAAAAGTTCAATACACAAGTTAAGTATGGTTATTACAAAAAAAAATTCACTGTTTCCAATTTGCAAGATGTTTATTAAATATAAATACATACACGTATATAAATACGGCATTGCGACCTTTTGACTCTTTACTTATGTCGTCATCGGGTGTAAGAAAATACAAGGTCAAAAGAATGTTCTAACCATGTGAAAGAAGAACAACAAAATTATCCCACAATGTTATTGACTATTTAGAAACAATATCAATGGAGGAGAGGAAATAAAATTAAAGCATTTGATTTTTTAAATAAACATTATATTTGTAAAGCTGTTTATTAGAAGATCATTTTATGAAAAAGTTGCCTTAAAACAAGTTAAGTGTATAAAAACACTGTTATATTTTTTAAAAAGTAAGATATTTGATCTATGGGTAGACTTCATTTGGTTAAACTTCAAGGTTGGAATTACCAATACATGTAATGGTGAATCCTCAGTAACTTATTGCATGTCTAGTTTCACATCTGTGATTTTGGAATGCTGAATTGGGTGGACTTAGAAGGATGTTACTTGACCTAAATGAGACTCCCATATGCTTGTGGATATAGATGGTAAAATAACATTTAGTTTTTCCAATATTGGTGCGCTGCAGTCACCACATGTGTATTTATAGACAATCCAAGAGAAAAGAGAAATAGATAGATGATTCTGTATTTTGAAGAAATGTTTTAATCTTAAGGACAGTTTGAAAATGATCTCAAGTTTGATTTGCAGATATAACTTTCTTAAGTACAGTGCAGAAAGTAGGAATTGCTTTGCATGTCTTTTAGATGATATAAGATGTCAGTTATAGATTTTGTTCAGAAACTGAAAAAAACAAATACAAAAAGAATTACAAGTGAAAGACAATATGCAAGAATATTAACATTTTACAGTCAGTTTATATTAAAATACATGATTATTAAGGAAATTACTGATGTTTATAAAAAAATAATCCCCCCCCTTTCATATTGCTCCACTGCAAAAGAAGCTTGAAACTGGTGTGCAAACCATTTTCTGTGTTTTGTATCAAGTTGATCAGTATGTTAAATAAATATCAAAATATTTTTACCATTTAGGTTTCTTTGTAGTGTACGCTAATACAGTTGTACTTTAAAATAGTGGTATTAAAACTTCTTTAAATCGGTTATCACTTTGGAACATTTAGTTTTAGAAAAGAATCTGGTACAAGATGGACAATTAACCAAATATGAACACAGCTCGAAAACTTAAAAAGAGAAGTAAATAAACTTTGTTAATTGGTTCCTTTTGGAGTAGTATATAGAACATATATTTATTTTGGTATAGAGCAGTAAATAAATCCAAAAATTGGTTAGACACATGTTTTGAGGAAATTGTTGGTATATAATGGAATTTTTTGATTATCATATAAGAATTCATTTTGAAGCTTGAATATCTTGGTATCATATATTGTGTTTAGAGCTACCAGTTTTAAAAATAAAAAAAATTAATTCCAAATTTAGTTAAGTATTTGAATGTAGCATAATGTTTGGAAGACTTCTGAATATTTATAAGCACCTGTCAGTGTTATTGTATCAAGCATGTTGCCAAGTTCCTGTTAGAAGTAAAATACTATAACAACTATCAGACATAGTAAAAACAAAAATTTATTTTATGCTTGCTAAAATTTCTCATTGGAAAAACTGTCATTCTTTATGTGGTTGGTGAATGTAACATGTTTTTTTTTTTTTAATGATATACGTTTATGTTGTAAATAAGTATATCTGGTGACTAAATTCAAATAAAAAAAAATGTTATACAGACTTGTACTTTGTGTGATTTGTAGATAATATATACTGTAATTGTACTGATGAAATAGTTCTTAACAGGTAAGACACTGTCACAAACTTGGTACAAGTTTAGACCAGTTTTATAGTGTGTTAGGGAAAAAAATTATAATCAGAGAATTTTAGCTGATACATAGTACTGGCATAAAAATTTTGCTTTTGAATTATAGATATTAAATGTAGCACTATAATACATTTTTAAAATTTATTACAAAAACTTTTAAGAATTCAGTGGAAGAGTATAGTTGCCCTGCAAGTATACTGAGTGCTTGCATAGAATTTCCAAAAATTTTCATATCCTTATAATGCAACTATTTAAAAACAAACACAGATCTGAAATTGATATATATTAGTAGCACAATTTAGTTACTGAATGGAGAAAATAAAGTTTCATTGACATTATCACACCAGTTACAAGCTGTAGAATACGAGTACTTTCAAATTCAAAGCAATCAAAGTTAGGATCTTACTGAATCAGCCTTTCTGAAAGAATTACGTTTGTTTAAATGAGATATGATGAAAATATGGGGTTTTCCTGACCAGTATGCATCTGTCGAACTTACTTCTGATCAGGTAGTCCCTTTCCCATTTTGGCCAGGTAGTTAGGGCACTCGACTCGCAATCTGAGAGTTGTGGGTTCGAATCTCCGGCCCACCAAAACATGCTCACCCTTTCAGCCGTGGGGATGTTATACTGTGATGGTCAAAATGAGAAGTCAGAAAACATATGCTATGTCTGCATACCACACTTTTCCTTCCACCTTTGTTTCAGACTTGTCTTCAAGCCAACAATTTAACTTTGAAAGCAATTAACTGTATACTCGAGACATGGTCAAGAAGGTGTTAATTTTCCCTTATCTCTGTAAACGTTTGCATGTAACATGGATGATGCAACCCTTAAACAAAGAACCAAAAATTGATAACTTGATCACAATGATAACACAGTACATAAAGAAATAGTCAAGGAATAATAATAAGAAAAAATCTCAGTAATTCAATAACATATTGTATAAAATTTTTAAACTATAAAAGATACAATGAAAAAACCCTTTATTAATGACAAATGCAGTACATATGTAATAAAGTATAATGATAAAAAAAATTCCTTAGATATTCAACAATGCATGTTACAGAAAGGAAATGTCCTTAAATAAAAAAATATAATGAAAACCCTTTAACATAGATCTCAAGCACATCCAAACATGTGAAAGAAATACCCTTTAACAAAAAAAAAAACTGTATTTGAATATTGTTACGTCTCCGTTCGATAGTTAATTTTCAGTAACTTCGTTCCGACGAAACTTTAGCGACACAAGTCCTTTCTTAAATAAAATTGGTTTATTCTTTCCGAATACAACTTTACGATACACTCAACTTCAACAGTCCAGCTATAATAAACTATAATTCACGTCTCATGAGCTCGACTTCAACAATACGTCTCTCTCTGACTGCAGTTCAATCACTCATTACCTACACACACATTGTCCCGTCACGTTGTGACCATTTTATATATACCACGCTACCCCCAATCTAGTAATCTCCCGATAATTCCCGAAGGTTCGAGAGAAGGAGTGGCGTGATACTAGTCACGTGACCTCGCTGACGCAACACTATATATAAAACAACACTTAACAATAAAAGTCCAGAGAGACAACTTTTTAGTGGATTATTTTTCTTAAACTTTATAACAATGTTTGGACCTTTCGTGTGGCCATCATCAGGTAAACTGTCGTCTATTGTATGAAATTTTGCACAACCATTTTGTTCCAATTTTGAAATCATATGCTGATGTATGCAGTGGATTTCTCCTTACCCGAACTCTTAAAAATGATCACCTACTCCCTTCATTAGGGGATAGTCTTAACACACACTATGTATTTGCATAAAATAAAACAACATGAAAACCCTTTAAGATATTGATACATGTGCATCTTTTTAATTACAGCAACTAAATAAAAATCTTTACTGACTACATTTTTACAACTTAAATGAGAATATCATCCAATAATGAATAAAATACGTTTGTCTATGGCTATTAAAAAAAGAAAACATTTTCTATCTTTACACAAAATAACCATTTAAAATAGGTAGATATACATTAATAAAAAGCAAAACATAATTAAACAAAATAAACTTGTTACAGAGAAAAAGGAGCAGGTTAAAGGCACGAAGACTATATGAAAGAAATGAAAATACATTACAAAACTAACTCCTTTAAAGAATGGAAATACCAGGTACAATAACTCTTTTCAAGAAAGAACACTATACAGAATATAATGAATAAGTATAATGTTACATGTATATATATATATATTACTATTTACAAATAAATCTTTAATTTAAGTTATTTTTCTTAAAACATAGAACAGTAAATATATATATATATATATATATATAGAAAACAATGATCTCTACTACTTAGGATGTTACAAAGTTGTTGTTTTTTGTGCTCCTGCATCCTACTTGCTAAACCCCATCGAATTTCATATATGAAGAGTGTGAAAAATACAATTTTTGTTGGTTTTATATATGCTTTTTGAAATTACAAAAAATTATAAGTTACTATGCTGAAACCACAAAATTCCACTGTGGTTTATCAGGCTTACCAACTAAGCTACATTTTGGTCTAAAAATATTCTCCTTTCAGATCAACATATTGCCTTGTGCTCGACTTGCAATCTGGGGATGACGGGTTCGAATCCCCGTCCCACCAAACATGCTCGTCCTTTCAGCCATGGGGGCGTTAAAATGTGATGGTCAGTCCCACTATTCGCTGGTAAAAGAGTAGTCCAAGAGTTGGCAGTGGGTAGTGATGATTAGCTACCTTCCGTCTAGTCTTTCACTGCTAAATTAGGGACAGCTATCGGAGATAGCCCCCATGTAGCTTTGTGTGAAATTTCAAACAAACCAAACCTTCTTCCTGGCAATCCCTACTGGAAATGACCAAGCACTCTCTGAATGTTGTGTGACTTTGTCCTTCAACCTCCAATGCATCTCAGCACTGGCCACGTGCCTAGTACTTCAGGAAAGTTTATGTGGTGTTTACTTTATCATACAAATATTGCCAATGTGTATATTGTGGCAAGTCACTGTTGTCCCAATCGACCATCTGATCTCACAAATACATCACCATATTCAACCAACAAGAAACTGAGTTGATTTTGCTGTGTTAGATAAATAGTGTTTGCACAGTTCTCAAACAACAATCTCAGATGAGTTTGTAGCCATATACTTGTTCTTGGATGTGGTGCAATGGCCAGAATCTAGCATTACCACTAGCCTTGATCACTTCCACTTTGCTTAATACAACAATGACCATTCCAGTACAAAGCTGGATAACTGATTGCATAATTACAAAACGTCACTAGAACACCATCTCTCCTCAGACAAATAACTGCCCAAGTTATTGCTGTTTGCTTTCTAGACAGGAAACCATTAATTTCATGCATGATCTCGTGTTGCATGGCATAGACACATGACACCCCACTTGTGTATATGGAGGTACTGTTATTCCCTCTGCTACGCTCACTTGTGTAATCCACTGTTCATGGGCTCAATCTGCTGACATCTGTTATTTCCCAGAAAAAAGTTGTTATCAACTGGCTGGAGAGGTGATCTCACTTATAGGGCTTAATATATTGTAAGATATAACAATGCTCTGATAAGTCAGTGGCCAGGTTTGACTTTGGCTCCATTAGATTTTCAGAGCTGTAGCAGCAGCATTTATTGTTTGCTGTTGGTTCTCCTGGACCTGTTGAACGATTAGTCAAAACTGATAGTTTTATTAATCTTGCTGCTCAGAAAAATATGTATGCTCTTGGTTATTCTATACCTGTTGAGTTTTTGATTGGAACCAATAGCCTTACCTACTTTGCTGTTTAGCAAAGTTTAGGTGCCGCTAGCTTTTTGGCACCTAATGAGCCATTAGTTGGAACTGATAGCCTTTCTGACTTTGCTGTTTAGCATACCATAAGGGAAGCAGATACTTCAATCCTCTTGTACTACACAACATCCAGATGGAGGCATCATCGACATAGGCTGTAGCATGTAAACTATAAGAGGAACAGATAGTCCTGTCTATTCACTGGAAACCACTGTGGCTGCATTGCAGTGCTGGAACATATGAGTGGCTTGTTAACCTTCATCGTGATCCAAGTATGACATAGTTAAGGTACCAAAGAAGGATAGTTCATGTGAGGTCTAGCAGCTTCTTCCAGCAACCAGCCTATTATTGTCATTTCATAACCAAATGTAATGGAAACTGACTCTGTTAGGATGGGAATATTTCTCACACCTAGTTGATGCCTCTAAATCTCGCCAGAAATCCCCTTGATGAACTTATCCATAAGTATGTATTCACAATCTGCTGAAGTCATTGCAGGAACAGGATCTCAATAATACTACTCTTCCAAGCCTTGGAATCAGTCCAATTGATCACCTGAATTGATCACCCAACTGTCTCTTGAGTTGAGTAGTTGGCACAGCTTGGCTATGACTGTTTTCCAGTCGTGCCTAGTCCAAATGCTTGACGGAATCCAGGGATGGACAAGCCCTATCAACCATTTATCTTCCCAAAACACTTCAGAACAGTGTTTCTCAAACTTTTTTAGGTTGCACTCCCTTTTCTTCTCTGTAATACACTTTGTCCCCTGTAAAAATGCTCAACTCATTTAAACTATGGTATATATATTTAACCAATAATAAACTTAGCTTAAAAACTGAAAGACGAAATATTTTTTATGCTTCTCACGTCCCTCCCTCCAAAAATATAAGGTTGCACATCCCACAGTTTAAGAACCACTGCTTCAGAAAAACGCGCTTCGTGCTTTAAAACCGTGGATGCTCTCCATGAGGGACGGTGAAATCCTACTATTCTCTCAGATAAGAGTAATATAGCTCAAGAGTTAGCGGTTGGTGATATAACTAGCTCCCTCCTAGTCTATCAGTTCAAAATTAGAGATAGCTATGAGAAGATAGTATTTTGCAAAGTTTTATGCGAAAATCATGAAACAAACATAACACAACATAATAATGATAAGCATAATAAAATGATTTCCAAACAATTATCTGTAACTCATTTTCGAATATTATTTTAAGTTAAGTTTCAAATAAATAAAATTATTACATTTATTTATTATTTGAAACAAATAAGCTATTGCTGTAATATAATTTTTCTTGGATAATGAAATTATTAAAATGGTATTTGTTACAAATAATTAATTAACAAATTATTCTTAATATATGACGTCATACGTTTGGTCAGACGTGTGTGCTTTGTTGTATTACTTCACTTGTGTTAGCGTGCGTTTCACAAAGAAAGCTATCCAAATTTAGAAGAAGAAAAAAAACTTCTTGTAGCATAATATGTTTTATGACTTTATCCAGTATGGAACAGGTCTAGAACATCAGGTAATCTTCTGAAAATTTGGGCCTATAATTTACCAATTATTCCATCATCAGTATAATCCTATAATTTATAAACTTTTACCCTTCGCCGGTTAGAGTCGTAAGTTCCATAACATAAATTAAAAGCGTAGGCCTAACTTAGTTCGTAACGTCGTAAGCATTAGGGAGAACTTGTTCTTGATTCTTTAGTTTGAAGAGTCACGGGCTGCCATATACGTAAAGTAGAAAAAGTTTATTTTCAAGTATAACAAAGTTCAAGAGGAAATGGCGCAAATGAATCCGCCTTGGGATAAGACCGGTAACCAGATACCACCTTTTCCTCAAGTTTGGAACACTGGTCCTGCTGTGGCTATGGATATGACAGCTTACTGGGCTTTCTGCAACAATGTAATTAACCTTTTTCTTCAGAAGAAACAAGATATATATATTAATAATATCGTGGATAAAATAAGTTTATGCTAGATCTAATTTCATATAATTATATAACTGATTTAGTTAGCACTGACAGAAATATAATTTTGGAGAATTAGTATTGTACTTATAACTTAATATAAGTTATACTTAAGTTGTAGCCTGATTACTGGTACCATTTTCACTTAGGCATTTAGGGACTTTACTGTTTAATTTTAAAGAGCTTAAATTTTGTTAAGATCGGAATATTTGTTAAAACAAATTTGTATAGAGTATAAGAATTAAAATTATTCATAATTGTTTTTCATAAAATAATTTGATGACCGGGTTCTTTCTAGCATAAAAATCATGTTCAGCATTCTTTGCATATACATCAGTCATTTCTGTTAATAGTATGATGTGAAGGCAAGGCATGAAGATATAGAAATTACAAACAAATGTTCTACTGTTTCATGTAGAAAGAATATTTTTCTTTCCTGCTAATGACAGTGTAACAAAGCATGAGACTTGCTTTTAACTATGTTAATTGAAAATTTCACCTTAGGAAATCAATTGTAATTATTTTTATTAATGCAGCTTTCTTTTAAAAATTAAGTTCCAAATGTTAAATCATACTTTATTAAATTTGATGTCATTTGCCTAATGGCAGTATTATTTAATAAGGTGAGGTATTCAGTATGTTTTGTGTGATATTATATTGATATGACGAAGAAATCATATATTTTATTTCCCAGAGAAAATACACAATGTCCTTTTATAACCTTGATGTTACTAGTGGTAAAGCCAATACAACTTTAGGTTGTATTTATAGATATACTATGTCAAAAGAGGTAATCAATGCTCCAGATAATATTTTGACACAAGGTATTTTACCTCCCAGGATAAATTGTAATGCTGAAAACTTGTGTATTTTCAGGTTTCAGTGATGTTTTTCATAGTTCAACATGATATTTTGGCACTGTTTTGCTGTGTTACCAGGTGCTTACTCTTGTTACTTCTTAATTAATTTTTCATGGACTTAATATCCTTTTGAGGCCTACCCAAGGCAATTGCAGTGTAAATTCAATACAGTATTGCTCTGTTGACATTGACTGATAAAATTAGACTGGTATAATTTCCAGTTTAACTGTAAACACAAAGTAATCAGAAGCTGGTAATCATTTTATAACACAGTTTTGAATTTTTCTTTTCCTTACTAAAACTTCCAATTTCAGTGAAGAAAAGAAAGAATTTATGAATGAGGTATAGACCTAAGCTATTATTATTCAATTCATTACTCTGTAGTAGACTGTATATTTACTGAATCACAGGCCTTTAGTACTGCTTTGGAGATGAAACAAAATATATAGAATAGGTCTCCATGTAGTGGTGGTATGGATTTATTTTCTCTTGACAAAAGAAAGACAAGATGTGGTTTTATTGAAACTTAAAATAATTGTCCAGAGGTTTGATAGGATAAGCCTAGCCTCAATTGTTTTTGTGAAGATAAGAGGACACATGTTTAAGATTTGGAAAAGGCATCTAGACTTTAGTTAAGACAGTTTTGTTTTGGTAACATGATAACTGACTTGCAGATTGAGTGTCTGTTGACAGTTGTTTAAGAGGGGAATCAATGATTTTCTGAGATGTGAAGGGTGGGATTAAATTCTTAATTTTTGTAAGGGTAGGTATGCAAGAACAGCCTTTAAGTACCATAAATGTGTGCAATTTGTTAAATAGCAATTGAGCTCATCTTCAAGTGGATGTGGTATGAAATGAAAAGTTTTGTGCATATGATTGAATAATGACAATGCAAATTATATTACTTGTTTGAATTGATTGTGATATTCTACCACAGTAATTAACAGAGCTACGCACTTATGGGCTTAACATAGAAATTGAAACTTTGCCGTAATAAGCATTATAAATGTGAATAATACTGAAAGGAACAAGGTACATGTAAGAGTAAAATGAGAAGTGACTTGAATCAAGTGTTTAAAATTTTTAGTTTTGGACAGTCTTCTTGTGAGTGGTGGAAGGAAGAACTTGGAAAATAAACTTGAGAATTAGGGGTAATATCTTTGAGCATTGGAAGCCTAAATTTAGAATGATTCTTTACTAGTTGTTAAAACATGGAATGATTTGACAGATGTTGAATGTATAAGATTACTTTAAACTATAATTTTTTAGCTTATTAATAACCAGCATTGCCATTCCCTAGACTTTCCATTTTGAATTCATAATTTGCACGAAAAAATTGTTACATATTTAAGATGTTGATTTATCTGATTGTGTACTTAAATGAAGTATATATTTTTTTTTATGTATGATTAGTTTGCTGGTCTAGACCTAAGTGCTTCACAAAACCAAGGCAGAGGTAATTCTGGTAAGTTTATTGCTTTACCTAAATATAAATCTTAAATGCTTTTAAGCATGTTATTAATTGCTTATTTTTCCAAGGATAATATTTAAGGACAAAATGGTCCCTAGCTTGTCCATTGGTTAAGATCTGTTAGTTATTCTGTAGATAGGCATTAAACCTACCAAAACAGGTCTTCCTATGGTCATGGGTTAGAGGTCATGTCATTGCTTTTGTAGACTCGCATTCAAAATTTTATTGAACTACTATTTTATGAATTTGTTAATAATTTTGGTATCAAATTGTAGATTATAATTCAGAATTTAGTATTATACATTAGTTAATTTCTTAACTTAAAAGTAAGTAAAAAAAAATCCTAAATATCAAATTTTGTGTCACATAGTATGTTGAATGCAGCTTTGCTTCAAATTAGATGTTTGTGATATTCAAATGCAAAGTCTGTAGTTTCTTACAAATTAGATGTTCAAATTGCCGATATTGACAAGCTAGAATATAAGATGAGAACCTCCTATCTTTACTAATTTCTGTTTATTAAATCAACCAAAGTGGCCCCACCCACCTTTTCTATTTTTGAAAATACTTGCTTACGTACACCTATTTCACCCACTGATGTGTGCATAATCAATCGAAAGCGCACAATATCCCCTAGTGGTTTTCTCAACCTCTGCAAAGCAAAGTATTTGTGTGGGAAACTCTTTCTTTTTATGCTAGATTCCAAGCAGTAAGGTAAGTCATAAATTAGTGAGCTCAAAATTTCATTTTTTTTAGACCCAAATACAGCTTAGTAACTAAGCTTGATAAATTATAGTGGAATTCTGTAGTATGGATATAGTGATTTATTATTTCAAAATGTATATATAAAACCTAAAAAAATTATATAGTTTCACATTCTCCACATTCCAACTTTGATAAGGCTTAGCAAATTATGGCAAACAGTAAAGTTTGTAACTAGAAGGGATAATTGTTTTTCTGTACTTCTTTATTGACTGTTCTATGTTTTAAGAAAAAAATAACTGAAATTTAAGAACTTGGTTGTAAATAGTAATAATGTGTATGCACATATAATGTATTATAACTGAAATGTGACTGTATTTTACAAAATGCTGGTCCACTAGAACACAGCTGAGACCGGTCACTTTGTAAAGGCCAGTTTCGTGTTCTTGCAACTTGTGTAAAGTCAATAAAATAAAAATAATAAATGTAACAAATCCATACAGAGATACAAAAGTGAAAATAACAGATAAATTATAAAGTTTTAAAAAAAAGTTTGATAATTTTCTGGAGGTTATAAAGATTTAGCATATGAAATTTGAAAATTTTCTTATGCATAAAAGTATTTTTAATCTTAAAATCAAAATTACCTTGCATGTTGGATAGTCAACATTCGAAAAGAAAAAATGCATGAGAAAAACATTACTTAAAAAATATCGAAACTTAGTTTAAAAAATCTTATATTTTGTGAAGCATGAAAACTATTACAAGCTTAAAGTGGTTACAAGTTCCGTCTCAGGGACCAACCTTGTACTGAGCGAGTAGGTATAATAGCATGAAATCTAATTTAGGATTAAAAATTACTAAAAACAAATTGCTTGTGCTTGCTACAGTTAGAGGTATTACTATTTTCAACAAGGATATTAGTTTTTCCTAAAATCCTCTGCATTGCCAAATATCTTAGGTAGTACCACAAAATAAAATTTAAAATGTGGATAAAATCCTGTCAGATATTTTGATGCCAATTGTCTGAACTGAGTGCACATTTAACTTCCCAAATTATTGATACTCTATTACGTGGATTCTTGCAGTAAGGTCTATATATGTGTGTCTGTCTTTGTTACCTAGTATAACTTTTGCATACCTAAAGTTTATCGTGAGTACTGCAGTCTGCAAATATTCACAGATACCAGTGCTCTCCCTCTTTCCCCTGGAAGCATTTGATACAAGTACAATTTCAAGCCAGAAAAGTGCATTGACTGCAATCATCTACTTTACTGGAAGCCAAGCCTGCTATGTTTGACACACCCTAGGGGAAGGCATGCTCCCTAGATTGGTAACCACTGGTATAGGCATACATGAAAATGGTGGGAAAAAAATAATTTTTTAGGGAGAAAGTTTAAGTAATAGAAGTAATTAAAAACAATGGTAGGTTTTATTAAACAAAATTTTACACAATGTTTATAAAGATCAGTGCAATGGGCATTAAGTTACTACAGAAATTTAAGCCTAACCTCATTCACCATTAAATTAAGTATGCCTATATCCACAGAGAGAAGTTCAGACAGAAATCAACAGGTACTGGTCAGTGAGAAACATTGAGAGTATACATACGATATAATACTTTTCAATCAGTCATGGGTATCAGAAATTAATGTTTTTTTTTATATATACTGTAAAAGATCTTTTTAAAGGTATTTATTTTCAATCAGTTACATAATCCCCATTATTATTAATGACAATGTGCCATCTTTCAATCAAGCTTTCAATTACTCATTGATAGAAGGAAGCTTCCTTTGAGACAGAATTCTGTGAGAGCAATTTTGATTCCAGCAGTATTTCTGAAGGTTTTATCACTGAGAAAGTGCTGCATAGATCTGAATAAATGGTAATCTGAATGGGCATTGTCAGGAGGGTGAGGCAAGACTTCCTAATCTAAATCTCTGATCTTGTTCTGAGTCATTCTTGCAGAATGTGGTCTCGCATTGTCATGCTGCAGAATGACCCTTTTTTGTTGATCAGTGCTGGATTTTGTTCAGTGAGGTCCTGATGCAAGCAGTCCAATTGTTGATGGTAAAGGTCTGCAGTTATTGTCTGATTTGATTTCAGTCACTCAAAGTGAATTATGCCGACTATGTCCCACCAAACGGACAACGACTTTCTGAGGGTGCAGACATGGCTTGGCTCTCGGAATTGGGTTCAGGCCAGGTCTAAGCCACTGATTCTTGCATTTAGTGTTGACATAAAGATCCCACTTCTCATCTCCTGTAACAATCCGATGAAGAAATGGTTCTTTCTCATGTCTGGTTATCACTGAATTGCAAATTGTTATGTGCTGGGCTTTTTTGTCATCTGACAGTTTGTGTGGAACCCAAACTCTTTGTCTGTTGACCTTCCCGATCTGCTTAAGATGTTCTTGAATGCTATACCAAGAAGAATTAAGTTTTTCTTACAAAGGTTTGATGGGCGTTTGATTCAACCTCTGACCTGAGGAGGTCATTGTCCAACTCAACTGGTCTCCTTGAACGATGGCAATCTCAGAGATCAAAATCACCTGACCTAAATTTTCTGAACCACCACTAGCATTTGTGGACACTCAAGGCATCTTTATAAATATAACAAATTTTTTTGTTGCCCCCATTGCTTTGTATCCTTTACGAAACTCTAGAGCATGCAAAGTCGAATGTGATTCTTGTTAGGAATGTGGTCAGTCATATTTTCTGATTAGAGGAAACTATTTTTGTTAACAGAAAGTTGATGAACAAGAAAGGTTCTTTTGCCTGCTAAATCAATTCACCTGAAAAGAAATGAAAGCACATAATCAGTAAAGGAAATGGGAATTAGGTACATGCTTAGAAGGAGCAGTGGGGTAATAGGTATATAAAAAAACAAATAGAAAAGATAGGAGGTTCTTATTTTATGTTCTAGCTTGTTAATATCAGTAATTTGATTTCTTAATTTGTAAGAAACTATAGACTTTGTATTTGGACATCACAAACATCTAATTTGAACCACGTGACACACAAAAATCAATATTTAGGTATGTTCTTATAATAGTTACTTTTAAATTAAGAAATTAACTAATGTATAATACTAAAATTTGAATTAGAGTCTACAATTTCATTCCAAACGTATTGATGACATGGCCTTTGACCTGTAACAATTGGGTTAATAAACATCTTCAGTGGTACTAAACTTAACCAAAGGGGAAAAATGCAAACTGAGAACTAGGTACCCCCATTTCCAGTACTGCACATATATAGAAATGTTTCAATTTAAGGTTGCAAAAATGACATTACTTTCTGGTACTAAGTAATATCTAATAGTTTATCTTTACTGTGGTTTACTGCAGTTAGTCTCATTTTGTTTTTAATACAAGATTAATATACTGAATTAAATGTATAAGTATACATTTTGTATTTGCTAGTAAAATTGTGCAATAATATGATTACTTGCAGTTACAAACTGTGAAGGTGTGTTCTTTCTGCTAAAAAAAAAAAGTGGTAAAAGATGAACTTGAAAATTTCATTTGTTTTCAATGAGAAGAAAACACTGAACTGACAGTCTGGGCCAATTATAAAAAAAATGTTTGCAACCATAAAAAGTGTAGGACCAGCCCAGTTTAAATTAACTTGTGCAAGTAAAGTAAAATGCAAAAAAACTGTTTAAAGACAAGAGCACAATATTATTTAAATCTTCTTAGTTCTTAAAACTGTCTTTTTATACAAGTGGATTTAAGTTACTGTACAAACAAATACATTTTTCATCCAAGCATATTTAATTTAAAGAAATAGTCACAGCCTCAGAATATGTTATCTTAGAAATAACTTTTTTCTGTCTTGTATATCCAGTTGTGGGAAACATTAATTCATATATTGTTTATATTTATAATCATAAAAACTTTAATCTTTGCCTGAAGGTATGAATTTTTTTTTAACTTAGAGCAATATTTTTGTGATAGATTCTTTTTGAAATAGATATTACAAAAATATGTCCATGTTTACTTGCATGGATCCTTAAATTATAGTTTTCTTTGTGGGAAGGTTGTTGACAGTTGTATGTGCATATAAGCTCTTGAAACGCAAAGGCTTTGGATACAGCATTCTATATAATAGTCTTATACTCTGTTTTTTTTTTTAATTTTGTCAGATCGTCATTAAAAAAATGTATAATAATTCATCTTTATTTAAATAATTAAGTTTAAATTAAGAATGAACTAGAACACCATTTGTAAACTCTGAAAACTCATAAATTGGATAATTTTTTTAGAGAAAAGTAAATTATGAATATTTTGTTTCATTCGCTGTGTGCAAATGTACATTATATATAATATGAAGTCTTAAAATTCAGTCACAACAACTTAGAAGTTGAAATATTTTTTTCCCACTGAAAAAATAAAAAGAATGAGTTGCCTTCCAAAAAAAAACTTCATCTAAAATGAATGTTGTTGATTTAATTTTCTTCATCTCTAGGTCGAACATAACATTTCGTTTAATTAAATGTTCGATAGGTTTTAGGAAAATCAGAACAAATATAGTTAAAAAAAAGAAGATATCTATATAGTAAAATTAGGTGTTAATTAAATATGTATAAACTACTTAACATTTTGTATTCCTCTTTAGAACATTATGTTCCTCCCCAACTTCGTATTTGCCAAGTTCCTCCCCAACAAACTAGTGGTCCATCACCAGCAAATCATCAACAGTGGAATAACCATAATATTTACAACCCAGTTGCTCGTGACAGAGGTAAACAGTAATTCAGAAATCTAAATAATTGGAAACATTATTATGAAGGTCTCTGAGAGGTACATGTACATTGTAGTTTAATACAAAGATGATTTGTTGGTTTTCAGTTTTTCTGTTATCTTTCTTTATTTTTCTATCTTAGTTTTAAAAATATAAAGGTAAAACATTCATTTTCAGACTTTTTTTTTATTAACTGAAAGTATTGTTGAGTGAATTTTAGGACATTCTTCAATCATTTGATGTTTTTATTTTTCACATTTAAGACTTAAAATAACGTCATTCAAAAAAAAATATGTTATCATTAAAAACTAAACCATAACAGCAGTAACTTGTTATATCAGCTTCACTTTTTTGATTTAACCTATATTACTATCATGACAAATTGTGGGATTTGTTTGGGTTTTTTATTTGTTGTATTTCCTGTTGCTTCTGTTATGTCTTTCTTGGCTCTCATTGTGTTGTGCTAAAGAAAACTTGTTCAAAGTGCTTTTTTCATGAATATGTTTGTTTGTGTTATAAAATATTCCCATGAATGAGTATGTCATCCTTACTCTTGTATATTATTAATCTGTCACATTGTGCAGAAAATGAGGTTTTAATTTGTACCTATTGACGTGGGACACTTCTCAGTATTTCTTCAAAAAAAAAAAAAAATATATATATATATATATAATGAGTGACATATCCTGCTGCTTTTGCTTAAACAATTTGTCTGATTATTTAAAAAATTTTAAATTATAATGTTTTACATTAATTTTATGGGTCATTATAGTATATTACATATGATTATTTAAATAAGTTCACATTGAATCTTTAACATTTTTGCTAAACTAGATGATTTCAGTTGTGCATGCTTGTTGATACCTAAATATAATTGCTCTCTTTTGTGAACCTTCTATCTTCTAAATCATATAACTTGTGCAACAAAATCATGTGATTGTTTTGCTTGAAAGTTGCCAAAAAACCCATCACCTAATAACATTTTGGGTTAATTAATTTATTAAAATCTAAGTTGTTTTATTTTGTATAAAACTGAGAAGCTATTTGAAAATACATAGAGTTGACTGTTATATTAAAATAATGTTAAGTATGCAACTTAGAAAGTCATGTAAACCACAGCCGATATAAATTATGGTGGAATGGCATGTTTCAGAACTACTTTTGGATATTGTTTGGCATTCTGTAGGTAGTGTTTGTATGCCTTTGAAAAGTTGATTGCTTTTGAGAAGGGTATATAACAGTGTTTTCTAATATAAAATACTCTTGCACTCAAACCAATAAGATGTGGATATCTGTTGTACTTAATGGCATTGGTAAACAAAGCAATATGGATCAACTTGGGATTCAGGACCAACCAATTAAGAAACCTGCAACAAGTTACAGGCACCAGCTATGATAAGCAAAGGAGTGAATTTTGTAATATAAACACAAAGGTCATTGGCAAAAGTGTCCAAAGGTTCCAGGCAAAAGTACATAACATAATGAAGAAGGATCTATCTCTGGAAAAGCAACACAAATTAAGTGTACACAAGTTGTCTCCATGTAATTGTTCAGTTGTTGCCCATTTTATCAACTGGAGAATGAAACAGGTACTCATATGATTACATACCACTTAAGTTGCTGGATACAGCATATGTGGATTTCTGTACAATCTGAATATTAAACAAACTGCTGGGAAACTGTTGTCTTCATACACTAAGTGACTTATAGAAAGTATGCAGGGAGGAGTGGTGTGCTTTGTTAACAGCCTTATGGCAGCAGAGTTATTTTTACAGTGGAAACTACGCTGCAGGGCTAATAGATAGAGAATGACTGGATGTGAACTGTTACATTGTGGTGAGGCTCCAAAATTGTTTTAATATAATGTATTCAATCTTTTTATTTTGTATAATTCAAAATGGCAAGTATATTTTTATTGTTTAAAACATTTTTAAATACAGTTTGGAAATATATATTATAATGTTGTACATAAACGTAAAGTACAAGAATTAGTTTGCTTCTAAATGGCATACTAATTATTGCTGCATTTGTAATTTACTGCTTGTACACCTTTAAAAATATAATTGATTAAACATGTCATACTAAAATGCGAGTCAGAAAAAGTGAAAAGTTGTGTTTTGTATAATTGTAAATTTAAATATACAGCATTGTTTTTGAACATATATATGAATTTTTAATTTTCAGACCCTGGAAAGTCTGGAGGTTACATTAGGGGTGGTGGTAGTGGTGGGTATGTACTCAGAGGAGACATTGGAAGAGGTGGGGGTTATGATCGAGAAGAGAAACGGAATTTCAGTGATGAACGAGGCAAGTTTTGAGATAAATGTAGCTGCTGAGGTTTTTAAGTATTTTATTGATTTCAGAGGATTTATATATTAGGAGGATTCGGGTAGTTTGGTCATTTATGAAATAAAAAAATCACTTGAATTAAGTGACAGATGAACTAGAATTTAGAAGGAAATCTATATTAACAGTAATATATTAAGCCTTCAAAGTTTTTGAAGTTTATTTAGTCTGTATCATACTACTTGTTTAAATTTATTTTGTACATATGAATATAAAATTTTAAAAGTTATGTAGTATATTAAGAATTTTTTTTTTTACTACCAAATATATATGAATAGGATTTTAAAGTAATTTCTCTTTTATTCAAATTAAGTAGTTGGGTATGTTTTAGGGAAAATGGTAAATGATCAAAATTGGGATAATAGGTTCATGTCTACAATTGCTTGAGATTGTCAAGAAGCCACATGAAAGCTTCCAGAATATGTTAGCTGTATAGTAACTGACTAAAAGTAAGGAATTTTGCCTTATTCAGTTGACCCTATTGCTACTGGTTTTCCTATGGTCAGGGGTCAAAGGGCACATCATCAGTTTGTAGACTTGCATTCAAAATTTTATTTATTTACTATTTTATCAGTGTATATCAATATGTCTGGTATTACATTGTAGATTATAATTAAAATTTTAGTATTATACATTAGTTAATTTCTTAATTTAAAAGTATATATTAAAAAAAAAAATCCTAAATACTGATTTTTGTTTGTGATGTCTAAATACCAAGTCTATAGTTTCTTACAAATTTGAAACTCAAATTACCTGTATTGACAAGCTCGAATATAGAACAAGAACCTCCTGTCTTTTCTATTTGCTGAGATATCACTATATTTAGTGAATTAAACACAGTGGCCCTGCTCACCTCTTCTATTTTTGGAAATATTTGCTTACACACACCTACTTCTGTCTGTGATGTGTGAATAACCAATTAATAGCTCAGAATCTCCCCCACATGGATCTCTGAGCCTCTGAAATATTTGCAAAGGATAGATTCCAAGTGGTAAGGTAAGACACTATTGAGCTCAAAAAATCATATTTTGTAAACCCAAATTCAGTCTAGTTATTAAGTCTGATAAATTATAGTGGAATTCTGTGGTATTCACATAGTAACTTATGATTATTTGTTATTTCAAAATGCATGTGTAAAACCTAAACTATATTGTTTTACATTCTCCTTGTGCAAAATTTGATAAGACTTTAGTAAATTACAGCAAATGAGTACAAAGTTTGTATCTGGAAGAGATAGTTGTTTTCTATACTTCTTTATTTACTGTTCTATGTTTTAAGAAAAAATAACTGAAATTTAAGAACTTATTTGTAAATAGTAATAATGTATATACACATATAATGTATTATAACTGAAATGTGACTGTATTTTACAAAATGCTTGTCCACTAGAACATAGCTGAGACCGGTCACTTTGTAAAGGCCAGTTTTATGTTCTTGGATATGGTAACATGAGTGCACGTGTGCCGTGTCATTGCAACTTATGTAATATTAGTAAGTCATGGCTAAAAGGTCAATAAAATAAAAATAATAAATTTTTATATATGTAAAATGTTATGAGGTTTAAGCTATTTAGAATAAACATTTGTATTTTCGTGCTATAAGTTGTTGTCATTCTAGAATGAAAAAAGCATGATTTATATCTGTTTCCTCTTTTTTTATGGTGGTTACAAGGACAGTCAAATTGACCAAACCCATACAGAGATATAATAGTGAAAATAACAGATAAAATGTAAAGTTTTAAAAAAAAGTTTGATTATTGAGGTTATAAAGATTTTGCATGCGAAATATGACAATTTTCTGATGCATAAAAGTATTTTTCAATATTTAAAATCAAAATTGCATTGCATGTTGGACAGTCGATATTTGAAAAAAAACACACGAGGAAATAATTAATTAAAAAAATTATACTCTGTGTATGAATGCCTTTTAATGTTTACTGATAATCTGCAGAATTTCTTGAAAATACGTGTACATTTTAAAAAGTTTCAGTATAACTGCTTTATGGTTACTTTCAGGAATACGTGCTGGGTGGAATCCACCCATCCAAATTAGAAGGGTTAAGTAAATAAAAATTTAGTATACTATTACTGTCATTATATATATAAAAGTATGCTTAAATTTTATCAAAAATCAACAGCAAAAACCAGAAGGTATAAGGTAAGTACTTTTCTTTCTTGTTTTTCATACACATTTTTATTTATTGGTAGAGTTAAGGTAAAGAAAATAACAGATTAGATACAATGTTTTACTGAAAAAAAAGTTTGATATTTATTTAGGAGGTTTTAGAGAATTATGCAAATAAAATTGCAAAGTATTCAGATGAAGAAAAGTATTTTTAATTTTAACATGAAAATCACTTTGCACTGAGAGCAGTCAACACTGCCTCCATACAATTATGAACAAATCTTTAGTGAAATTACTTCATTAAAAATCTGATTTTTTGTGTGCAAAAGACTTGTAATGTTTAGTAAAAACTTGCCGAATTTTGTAAAGAAACTAAGTACTTTCTTAGTTGTAGTACGGACACCTTCAAGGTTTCGTAGTGGGCACAAGTTTGTGCAAAGTACAAAAACCCGTGTCCATAGGGTTAATTAGTTTCAAAAATAAATTAATATTTGGTGTAAATTGTAATTGATATCCCAACTTGTATAAAAGTAATGATGTAAATACCAAAAAAAAACATCTCAAGTGAACTTAATGTTTATAAAAAAAATATATAAAGTATGTTACTGGTAGCATCTGAATAGTCTGGTCTTTCATGATTAGTGGAAGTAGTTGTTTAAAACAGAACTGACTTGATTTTATAGCAAAAGTTGTGCATTGTCATGTTGTTTTTTAAATACTGGCAGCTGCTCAACTCTTTTAAACTCGTAACTTTTTGTCCATTCTGCTGGAATTAGTTTCATGATTTTTCTTATAATCATCACTTTATAAAATTTTAGTTTTCTTAATTTTGTGGATAATAACATGGCTTGGATTAGTTTTCAGCCAAAGAGAATTAAATATTATCGGATTCTGTCGTTGTTCAAGGGGTAAATCAGATTTTCAGCCATATGCTGTCAGCGTCTGCTCAGGTTTAAGCAGCTAAATGTAATTTACTGATACTATGACAACAAGTTACAGGAGGACCACTTCAAAATGTTCTTGCAATGTTCAATTCAGATATAAAGTACTTAAATCTTACAGCACAGGCTCTGTCCCTGGAACCGACCTCGTAACCATTTTGTGCTCATTATAGTTTTCATGCTATAACTTTTAAATTAGTAAGCAAATGTTAACAAAATTTTGCAGATTATCAGTAAACATTACAGCGCTTTCATATGTAAAATATCAATTTTTTTTTTTATTAAGTCTTAAGGTTTGTTAAGCAGTGATTTTCTCATGCCTTTTTTTCTTTTTGCATGTTGCATATCGAACATGCAAAGTAATTTTCATTTTAAGATTAAAAATACTTATGCATCAGAAAATTTTCAAATTTCACATGCAAAATCTTTATAATGTCCAGATAGTTATCAAACATTT